ATGGACCACAAACATAGAGATACACCACGCAGAAAAGTGTGTCACTCATTAAAGATCAAGAGTTTCCTCATCAACAGGGACATGAAAAGCCTGAAGAGTGGGGAAGGAAGATCCCTTACAAACACCAAAAGTTATTCGGAATCCAGAATCTAGTCGATAAAAGATGGCCTCGTAGATTCTGTCAAGCCATCTAGATAAAGAAGACTATACAATTACTTTCAAGCAATAAGCGAAAGTTTGGTCCTACCTCACCATATGCCAATCTGAACGAAGACTTAGCTGCCTATGAATTGGGATAGCCTTCAAGCCTACCAGTAACATTACATGCCGAATCAGATGAATCGATTGAACCCCTTGTAAGTATGCATTTATGAATACTATCCTTTTGGAAGTAAGTTGGATTTCTATTTTGATACCATGATCATGAACTCTTGTACTTCAAATAAAATTTTAAAAGTTTGATATTTCACAAAGTTTTAGCATACAACCCCAATGAACCTACACATTACATAATTTAGAAGGACATAGATGGAAATTCTAATACATAAGTCCGAAAGAAAGTGCCAGCCAAGAAGCACAATTGGAAAATGTGCTACCAAGAAGTGTTCAGGCTTGCCCATTGTCAGCATTCCCGACTCCATCGCCGGACAAAGTCCTGACTTCAAGTTGCTCTTCTACTATATTCGACATACCAGTATCTGGCACAATTCAGCAAAATCGACAATCGCTTTGTCCACATCCCAGATGATGTGTTTACCTTTCTTGTAATCATTCATAAGAAAGGTTCTAGTGGCTATTTCAACTTCCAGCTGGCAATTTTCTAAACGGTCTTCTAAAGAAGAAATATGAGGCCCAGAAGATTTCTTTAAGTTTGAAAGCTCTTCCTCCAACACGAGCTTCTCACGAACCATCTCGACTAGCTCATCTATCGCCTTTTTGGCGTCCAAATCAGCATCTTTCTTCCCAACCATCAAACTTTCGACTTCTCAACATAATGAAGCATTTGCATCCTGCAACTAGCGTACCTTTTTGGCCTGTCTAACGGCTTCATTTTTCTTAAATATGGCACCTTGCAGACCCTGGAATCAACAAAATAAGTTCGTATCAAATGAGTTATCCATAATGAAGTATATAGAAAATGATATACCTGAAAAATCTGAGCCATCGTGTTTTCGACAGCCTTTATTGGTCCAAGTTGCTCATAGAGCGTCTGGTCTTCAGGAAATAACAGACCTTCACTAAGCGCCATCACCCCCTGATTAGAGAATGCAAACGAACCAGAAGGAAAAGTAAGCACTATCGAATCATCATCTGCCGACAAAGGTCCAGGATGACCATGTTTGCGGACCATCAGGTAGCTCGATCTGACTCAAGATATCATCAGTTAGGACCATAGGGTTGTCGCTAGCGACGTAAGATGAGAAAACTTCTTAGACTTTTCTTTTACCTTCCTCCTTTTCAGAGCGTCAAGCGAAGACCCTACCACCCTAGACATAATTCGATCTGCAATCTCACGTTCAGTCGAGTTAAGTGGACCAACCAAATGAAGGTCACTACCAAGAATTTCCATACCTCTTTTTATCATGATAATAGGGATTTTATATCTCGGGAAATCGGAAGGAATAACTCGTGATTCTGCCGAAATATGATCCCACAAGCCACTAAAAGAAAGAACCTTTGAAGATAGAATGAACTGACTGTCCCTTTAAGCCCTAGGTATCGATAAGATCTTTGAAATTCGCTATTTTACAAACAAGCCTTCGACAGGCGGTGTGTTGATGTGAAGACCTGGAAGAAAGTTAAATAAGGACTTTGAATCAGTAAAGTACGTCGAGAGTAAGCGATCTACAAAGCTTACCGATTGACCTTGCTAAAGGGAAACGGTAATTCTCCTGACGAATCAAATCGCCTGACACGAGAAAATATGACCCTTTTCAACCCTTATCTCCCAAGGAAAGTCCAGTTATCAATCGATCAGTATTTTTCCCTGTATTTAAGGAAAATCGGCCTTTCTTACCATCAAGCTCCCTTATAAAGTAACCATGCAGCAACTCCGACATGCCGAATGAGATATCGTGCTGCCCAGTCAAAACTTGGAGAGCCAATAGCAAACACCAAGAGTTAGGCCGACTGTGTGCAATATCAAAATATTCCAGCACCATCCCAACCATGTGAAGAATTGGGAATCGAAAACCATCTTTAAATGACAACTCATAAAAAAACATTCAGCCTGAAACATTCCATGACTCTTTCGTGCAGTCGTGGTAAGCGAAGCTGAACAGATGCTGGAATGTCATAAGCATCTCGAATTCTTGACAAATTGTTCTCCACCAACTTGCTTGGTATATGTTCTTGGTGAACAAGATATGAGTAGCGCTTGGATGGTTATGTACAAGAAAACTATACCCTGTATAGCCACCGTCAAGATCAGGAACGGTTGGATCTATAGTAATACCTGCATCTTCTGCATCGATCGAATAAGATGGGCAAATCCCCGGATTGCCAACAAATACCGCCAATGTTGGCCCGTCTGGACAAGTATAATTGTCTATCAAAGAGTTTTCATCTAGATTGCTAGAGCTACTCCCACCTCTGGTTGGCCAAGGATCGGTCAGAATTTCATACGGAACATCAAGATAATTGGTCCAATCCATTTTCTTTCTTAAAAAAATAGCTACTTGCTAGCAACCTCACTCTATGATGGATCAAACACTAGAAACATCGAATCAAAATTGATGAAACCACTGAAAAACTTAAAAAAAATGTTTGAAGAACACTTAAGAACAAAGCAAGAATTTGAAGAATGGAGGGAAGAAACTCACCAAAATCTTTGAGGCTCCTTGAAGTCTACCAAGTTACTTGAAAAATGAATTATGAAGCTTTAAATAATGGAAAATTGGCACGCCAAACGAGTTGGATATATAAAAATTAAATCCAAATTTGTTCAAAGTCACCAACCAAATGTGTGCACTAGATGGTCATATTATCGGCCGATTGATACTCTCTACATGACATGTCGTGCGGTGAAGAAGGATTGTCAATTTTCCATTTTTGAGTGAGCATCCTTGTCGGCTGATTATGTTTGGTATGCCGTACGATTTAACATTTTAATACATAATATAAATATATTAAATATATATATATGTGTGTGTGTGTGTCAACTTCCACTCAGAAGATTGCCGAGTGGAAGGGTTGGATGCATGTAATGGAAACCGCACAGTTTCTGAGCCGTGCGGTAAAAATGTTGGGTATAAGTGTTTTGCTTTATTTAATTTATCTATATTATGATTATATAATATGAATAAATAAGTAAAAAATTTCATAATCGGAAATGTAATGATTTTCGAGCAATTCGATTTTCAAAAAATTATATGGCCTTCAAATATGGCTCGATCAGTCGTGCGAAAATTTGTCGAAAACACATCACGTAGCTTTCGAGCCATATGTCATTCCAAACAACTTCCAAGTCATACGATACCAAAAACCAAACGGCTTAAAAGCAAAAGACAGTGCAAAAAATCGTACAATTCGACAAGTGATGTCTCATTCTCTCAAGTGTCGCATGGCTAGGCAAGCGTGCGATAACCTCACATAACTTTTTTCGGTCGTATAATTTTCATCAACCATCATAACGAATTCTACAATCACTACAAACTATGTAATCAGATGGTCCAACATATGATCAAAGCCGCCTTCAACAAATAGGTGTGATCCGTCTTAAAGCTCGAATGACTCTTTCATTCTAGTAGAACTCATATAAAAGAGTGGGGGACTAACTGTAGTGGTAAAAATTGTTCCACAAGCCCAAACGGCCCAAGTCCAAAAAATAAGGTCCACAGATGGCCCACTTGATGAACGCAATATCTTTTGGCCCAGTTCGTTACGCCTGCCAAATAAGACCCACGTGTCAATTCGCAGTCCTTGATAATTTATTTTCAAGATAAATCACACTACGATTTGACCAGATCAAATAGAAGTTAGCTGAAAGAAAGTTGGGAATCTTAACTGAATAGATAGATAAATCACACTACGATTTGATCAGATCAAATAGAAGTTAGTTTAAAGAAAGTTTGGAATCTTAACTGAATAGATCTTATCAACACCAACCAACAAATCTCGTTGAACCCTCGTTAATCCCGCCCAGACGGTTATCTCACTACTATAAATTTCGTGGTTAATCTTACGTTCAGGTACACAAAAAAACAAATACTACTTTGCTTTGAATTATTTCTTCTCTCTTTTGATCTAGTATTCCTAGAATTCTTGAAAAGCTTTTCTGACTTGACCGTGGGAAGGTCTTCGACCGGCACCACACCGGTGTCCTCTTGAGATCTTTTTGCGGTCTTTCTTCTTCGTTCTACTTTTTGCAGGATTGCTAGTGGCCTAATCGACTCGATTTTCTCAACTGTAGAATTTACTGTCTACCACTTCGTGATCTGAATTGAAGACCAGGTGTGCGTAAGTGTGTTGTGTCCAAAATTTGGTGGTGCCTTGGAACGTTAAATGGCCCCTTTACACAAAGAAGGGATAATTGTAGTAGCGTTACCAAATATTTTATTTAGTACGATTTTGGTTAAACATTTTATTTATATCCCCACAGTACTAAACTTTTCAAAAATTAGCACACGGGGTCCAAATGAATGATTTCAATTAGTTTGACCGTTAGTTGACAGGATAATTGACATTGACAATAATTTTAATTAATTTTAGAAGGTTAAAATGATAATTTTATATTTTTTTATAATAAAATAACTAAAATCAAATAATTAAAATTAAAAACCAAAAACCAACTTCTTCTTCTCCATCCACCCCACGCATACCCACCTCAACCTCAAAACCATCGCCACCACTATCGGACGACTCAACCACACTCACCCAATGCCGACGTTACTACCATCTCCTCCACCACCACCACCTTCATTCCCATCATCCTACGAATTTTTCTTCCCCAAATCTGGATCATCCAAAAATAAATAAATCTGCCATCTCCTTTCTTGGAAATGTATCAAATAGTTGAAGCCATGAAATCACATAACCTGGAGCTTGCTTTGAATTGGGCTTCCACCAAGAAGGAACAACTTATACGAAGTGAATCTGACATTGAACTGAAGTTTCAACGCCTTCAGTTTGTGGAGATCTTGCAGAACAACGACAAAGATGAAGCTCTGAAGTATGATAGAACATGTTTCGCTCCTTATGCTTCCAGTAATATGGCTGCAATTCAAAAGCTTATGGCTTGTTTTTTATGGGTTGGGAGACTCGACTCCTCTCCATATTCCGAATTATTATTCCCCAAGCAATGGGACAAATTATCTGAAGTATTGACCCGGCATTTCTGCAACATTATTGGGTGCTCGGAATGAAGATGGCGGTGTAGGAGACGACAGTGGCATCGGCGTTGGGTGGGTGCGATTGAGCTGTCCGATAGTGGTAGTGATGGTTTTGGAGTGGTGAAAATAATGAGCGCAAATTTGAAATAAAATGTTAATTTAGAAATAATATGTCCATAATTGAATGATGGACGACAAGTTGGACGGTGAATCTCCAATTGATGGCTAGTGATTGTTGGATTGGGACTACAAAGGGGAGTGCAATGATTACTATAATCTTTCGACCTTCAAAAATTGTTACTTAATTAGGCTTAACCATCCTTTTTCCATCGATGAAATGGTCAATTTTGAACTATCTAGCCAAGCCCGTGGCATATACAATCTCCAAGCTCGTGACCCTCCAGGATGTGCCAACATGGATCGAGGTGAAGAGTGTATCAACGTTGCATCAACCTCCATACATTCCCATTGGAGATCGGAAGCCAACAATTGAAAAATTAGACATGGGGTCAAGAAAATAGTATTTTTGATTTTTGTTATTTATTTGAAAGTTCCAAATTTAAAATATTTTTTTAAAATAAAATTCTAAAGGAAAAATGAATTTTAAGAAATAAGAACCAAAGATGGACTTACTTTCACAGTAGTGTAAAGTTAGCAAAACAATGCAGTAAAATGCACTTTTAAAAGGGATGTTATTTATAAAATAGTGTGACGCATGACTAAAAATGTGCAATATCTTAACATTACTTATTTTTAATATAAAAAAATTATATTGAACTTTTCAAGTCACGTGGAAAGCCACACAAAACTTATGAATAAACATATGATAGTATTATTTGTTTTCAAATGGTAATATTTGAACTTTAGGAATTGAGGTTAATTTTACGTAGAGAAATAACTAAACCAAGTGTTCTAGTCAGGTATATCTGCTGGCACTACAAGAAACTGCAAAATTCAACATGCACCGTATCAATCTTTATTATCAACTGTCACCAATCAACCGGAACCACGTTATCAGGCCCAGAAATCAACCAAATTCTCGTCAGAGCTACATTTCAAGTGACCAACATCCCTCGAATTTATGTAATTTAATAAATAAATCCCACAAATGTTATGATCACACAGCAGCAAACATGACTTCAATATCGAGTTGGCAAGATTATAACTGCACCTGGGCCCGAATGACTCCCAATTTACAGAAATGCATCCTTTTCAAGCAGCTTCAGTACCTCAGTCTGATTATTTAGTTTGGCCACATCAATAGGTGTCTTGCCATCCAAATTCTGGAGAGTGCTGCGCCAAAAAAAAAATACGGAGCGAAGAACAAACTAACTAAGCACGGGGCTGTTGGAAAGCAAAGCAAACACAGAAGAGGACTTACACAGCAGCGCCATTCTTCAACAGAAGTTCCACGCATTCCTTCCTTCCATAACCGGCAGCATAATGGAGAGGAGTGTTCTTATTCTTATCCAAAGCATCCACCTTAGCCCCGGCCTCCAGAAGAACTTGAGAACACTTGACCTGGAATGGAAGTATGGGAGGAGTACAATCATTCAGAATTCATGATCTGTCCAGTAGAAATTTGAAAAACTAGTATTACAAAGAGAAAAGGACCGAAACATGTGGGAACAGAACCAAAGACTGTAAGACAACAATGACACAATCATATCATCGGGGAAAAAATGGAAGGTCAGATGTCAGAGAAGGGAGCATGTGAAGAATAAGTGGCAAGTGGAACAAGAAACTTCAAGAAGAGAAAAGAGAAGAAGCTGTGGGGAGACCCGAGAAGTGATGTGGAGATGAGCAAGCCATTTCTCTGTCTTAAGGAATTTTGAAGAGTGAAAAAAGCCTATGATATGGCTGACAGGTCTAGTACGAATACAGTGTAGAGAGTATAAAATGTCAAGTAATTTTATTGAACTGTAATGCCAAAAGGACAAAAGAAAGCTCATTGTGGTAATATTGTATACCTCTCCATATCCACATGCAAAATGCAGTGCCGTCCTTCCCTCAGAATCTTCTTCATCTTTATCAGCACCATCAGCTAGCGCATTCTTCAAACCCTAGTTATTTCATGAAAATTTATGTTAAATTCACCGCAAAGCTACCACGTAAAGTACAAGTAAAATGATGATGATGATGATGGTGGTGGTGATGAAACGCTTAACGACTAAACTTCTACATGCAAAGATAAAATTAAAAAAAGGGAACAAGCAAAAAAATTGAAGTGTGAAGTGCTTGCAATTTGATTTTCAATTCAGTATTAATAAGCTTGGGAATGTACCTCCACATCACCAACACTAGCAGTGCGATGAACAATGGATTCCTCTTCATTTACTTCCTCTGCTTCGTCTTCATCAGCAGCATTGTCGGCAGATGCAGCAGCTTCTCCTTCAACAGCAAATCCCATTGCTTCACCCAACTTCTGGAGAACGTCTTTATCATTCCAGTACCTAATTGACATAAATAATACTCTCACTACTGCCAAATCACAAAAAATGTACAGTTCAACAATGAAAATATTAGTGAGGTCAGAAATTCAATACCATATGGGTTAGAACTCCAATATGACATGACAAGACATGCTTATATAACTAGTGTGAGAATTTCTAAATATTCTTATAGGCTGTTAACAGCCATTACTTGTCATTTGTCAAATGTCCAATATGGGTGCCTCACATCTTTATATCATAATATTGAAACAACCAAGCTACTAAAATATGCAAATTCGCCCATGTGTCAACAATAATTTGAGGAAGCTCAAGACTGGGATTTTCCGCTATTCTCCTTCATAGCATGTTGTTCACCGTCAGGTAGACCAGAAAAGATCAATAAATTTAAAGTATAATACAATCACATGGCATCATGAATGAGTCATCTTATGTTAAATATATCCTACTTAATAAAACATCAAAGGTCACTAGACCTGCAAATCTACCAAACTACAAAATCTGAGAAAAAGAACTGACCTCATCATAGCAGACGGACCACCCGTTTCTATCTCTTCCAGAATTGGTTTCAACGAGGGGTCTTCCTTGATACGGGCCATTCTTTCCTCAAGTTGGTCTTTCTGAGATGGATTTGTCAAACTCTCAAGCATTCTGGACATGGATGGATCCTGTAGAAAAAATGAAAACAATTCAGGCCTTGTTTGATAGCTTGAGAAATGGAGTTTTGAATAGTGTTTTTTTATTTTTTTTGAGAATGTGCGGTTAAAAAGTAAGGAAAAATTTTAGGTTTACGTGCAAAATATTTTATCGTGTAAATGTGTGGTTGAAAATGAGTATATGAATTAAAGTGTTTTAAATAATGGTTATCAAACATGGGCTCAATTAGCATGCTAAGCATATGAGAGGTGATAGTTTGCCGAAAAGTCAATATAATTGTACTAATTAATACCTGCATCAATGAATTTCCAAGCCGCTCAGCCATGGTCACAAATTGAGGATTTTGCATAACTTGCTGCATTGTTGCATAATATTGTTGCGTATCAAAGTTGGGGATACCATCTTCAACTGCAGCACCTTGAAAGGTTTTCTGAAGCTGTTCGGCCATCTGATTAAATGAAGGGTCTTTTGCTATCTGTTCAGCTAATTCCTTGATGCTTGGATCCTACAACATGGTATAGAAATTAGGAAACAATATATCCAGTGTATTGTTTTAGACTTCTTCAGTGTATGCCCAAAATATCGTGTTTGATAGATATAATAAAATGCCTTTCACATTCTTTCAAGTCTCACTCCCTCAACCCTTATGAAATGTCCATGATCTTTCAGTTGCAACAATTAGAATGATAGGAAATTTCAGGGTTTCACGAGTTGGAAACTCTTGTTCAAAATATCATTACATGGGAAACTCTATTCGGTGAGTGAGGGGAAGTAAACCTTTTTCATACGGTTTCCTCTTATCAAAACAGGATAAGTAGTTAAAAAGAAATGACCTAATCAGCATGTAATGAATTTCAAAAACATAATAATATGTAACTCAAAATCATTCTCGATTTAACAAAAGGCAAAAGGAGAAAAGGACAAACATTAAGTAGTCCAGTCATGGCCGAGAAATCAAAGGGATTTGGCATCCCAGCAACTGATGCAGGTGTTGCTCTTCTCTGCCCTGATTGTGTTTCCACAGAACTTGACTCGGTTGAAGTTTTTCCCTGAGCCGCATTGGACTTCTCTTCTGAAAACACAAAAATTCCTCAGAATTAGAAAAATATTCATAACTACACTTTAACAATGTAAATAGTCTAAAGTTCTAAAAACATCATGAGTGAAAAATAAAATTGGTACAAGCATTAGGCAAAAAGTGAGTGCATAGTTGTTTTCTAAGTTACCCATGAGGTATGTCCTAAAATATATGTATTTTCTTATGAAGAATCATATTAGAAAACACTAGCACTATTTAAGTAAATGAATAAATTGATAATAAGGTATTTTTCAAGCATTTCTGCATAAAGAATCCTATCATACCCATAGAAAGTGGTAAATTTGGAAAAAATCACAGATACATCACAAGGCAAATTAATTCTTCAAATTGTTATTCCCTTCGCTTACAATCAATTGTAAAAGTTAGCTTGGCTAGAAGAGCTTTTTTTTTAGTCTCATGTTCTTGCACCCGAAATTCTTGGTTCCAACACATAACTCTAATTTCATAAACTTAATTAAAAGAAACAACACATCTAATCCAATCAGCGACTCTCACACAATCTCAGTTCTCTCTCCTCAATGTCGCTTTCTTCTCGAAGCATTGCATTCTTGCTATCATGTTGATGCTCAATCCAGCTCTACATCTTATTTTGCATTTAGTTATTGTAATTTCACTAATACATCATCAGTTTATTGCATGGAAAAACGAAAAAACAAAAAGGTTAGTGTGTATTAAAATATTGATCACACATGGTTGGTCAGCTAGAAGAAACATCTGCTAGCTCCCATTTCAAGCTGACTTCTTTCAAGTAATAAGATACAAAGAATACTTGAATCTTAACTATATTTCTACCAGTTCATTTCTTTTACATGTCAAAACAGAAAAATTGATTTGAACAAGGCAGCACCTCTTGAATCCGAGAACACATAATCGGGACTAATTCTATAAATTGATGTGATTTAGCTGCTGAGTAAAACAATTCAAAAAACCCACAAACAGTAATACCGCATCCAATCAGTTAAAATATTGTCTAACCAAAATTCTCAAATGAAATATCTTAATTAATTATTAAATCCCTAGAAGCCTAATAAGGATATCCTTCGCTGTGTGACTCTTGATCAAATAATCATAGTAAATTCATTATTCCAAAATTCATAAATTTTCACATCAGCAAATTGTCAAACATAACACGAAGAAAAAACATACCATCTGTGGAGGCTGGAGGGACTTTCACTTCCTGGAAGAAAAAAAATAGAGAAGGTTTTAATATTACGTCGCCGTAAATAAACTGAGAATCCGATTCTACTTCAAAATTATCAAAAGCAATATCAACCGGACGCTTTGAAAGCTCTTAATAATAAAAATAACTGGAATAGAAAATTCTCCATTAATGAAAAAACACAGATAAGAAATGTCAAAATCGAAGTCACGAATAGTAGTCGAACTATCTATTTTTGGCGGAATTGCCACACATGAAATTGAGCACAATTTTGTAAAGAAATAGCCCACGTGCTCAATATCATTTGATTGAATAGTTTACCCAGCCCCTTGTTGTTTGAAGAAACCCTCCACCGTATTTTTTTTTTCACGAAAGAAATCCGGTGTTTGACTGAGATTTCGAATAGCAAATAATAAAATGAAAATTTGTCAAAATTGAACTGTATTCCGTATATTGTAACAGTACCTGAGACATGTTCGCAGAGAAACTGAGGTTCTTTGCTTGGAGAAGCAGAGATAGGTAATTTGAAGGACACACGAAACAAAGAGTGCAGGGTTTTTGAAACAGATGGATTACCGGAGAGAGTGAGAGTGGGCCACATATATCCTCTCCTCACTCTGAATGAATGGCACAGATGTACTTTCATCTGATTGCGGATCTTTTTGGGCTCAATCTAGTCATTAGTGTTTGGATTCGGGTTGGGCCCATTACTAGTATAAGAAAAAATTTCCTCCTAGACAACAAATGCTTGTAAAAATTCAAAAGTTGCTTTCAATTAAAATTGAAAATATAACCGTTATTAGATCTCACTCGTTTAATAAAAGTTAACAATAGCGGTTAATTTTTCAATTTTAATTCAATTTTAATCTCTACCGAACACGTCTTTGCAAAACAGTTTTTCACTTTTCAAAATTGTATCAAATGATTCGAACTAATATTGAAAAAAATTATAATTATAATTTTATTTATTATAATATCTAATCTTGTAGAATATTGTGTATATCATTGTATATTATGCACATTTCAGTTGGATTTGGGATGTTTTCAGTGGACTATAAACCTTCGTTTGTCCTCCATTATTTCTCATTAAATTATATTCATTTTTCTTTCTTTTTTTATCAACCACACATTCTTTAATAAAATAATATTACACATAACTCAAAAAAAATCTCTTTTTTTAACCATACATTCTTCAAAAAATTATTATTCAAATCATTATAACGTGGAATAATACACAAATGTAATGTTTTTAAATTGTTTTTACGGTCACCAATGATACTTATTATCATGTAACGATCGCTTTAGAACGTGACATTAAACAATGCGATATTATTGAATAAAGTCGCTTAAATTGAGACAAAATTTAAGTCCGTGTCTCCATTAAAAATGTATTTTATGTTAAATATATTTTGAAATAGTAATTTTTCAAAAATTTGTAGCTAGAAAATAAGAAAAAAAATTAAAATTACGTATAATATTATTTTATTAAAAAATGTGTGATTAAAAAGTCAAGCAGAATCCTTGTAGCATGTTTGGTACAGATTTTCATTTTTTACAGTAAATCAATTCTCATTTTCAACCACACATTTTTCAATAAAATAATATTTTCCATCACATCAATACTTTTTTCTTCTTTTTCAACCACACATTTCCCATCATATCACTATTTAAAAATCAATTCTTCCCCCAAAAATTCTATTTCCAAATTTCCAACCCGTTATTACCGAGGAAAATTAAAATAAAGAAAAAGGCAGCCCGAATCAGAAACTGTGGAATTCGATCTGTTTGATCCGGACAGAAACTCCATTTTTCAAGATCAGAAGGCACATACGTTCATATACGTATAACTGCTATAATCACACACGAAGATCAGTTGGAGTTCGTGAGGAAAGCGATGGGGGCGGTTTCTAACGTTCTTGGAGGGCTCATGTTCATTGTGCTGTGTGTTTTGCAGAGAAGCAAGGCCATATGGTTGAATTTGCCGGCGACTGGGACCAAGTGTGTGTCGGAGGAAATCCAGAATAACGTCGTCGTTTTGGCCGATTACGTTGTCATTTCCGATGACCACGTACACCACCCCACCCTCACTATTTCCACCAAGGTTAGTTTTTTTTTTTTCAAAAATAAAATAAATAAATATGCTTACTTTGGAAATTTTTTCATACATACATTTTATGTGCTTGATGAAGTGATAGTTTTGATTGTATCCCATCTATTTGGGGTTGATTCTCTTCTGTACGCATCTTGTGAAGTGCATAGAGAGGAAAAAAGTAAAAAAGTATCTGGCCTTGGATCTTTTTACTGCCCGTTTAAGGTAATGGAAATTGTAAAGTATCTTTCGAAGTCTTAGCTAGCAAATATATTGATGAATTCTGGTGATTTAGCATTCTCATTGGACATTAATTGATTTAAGTTTATTTTGGCTGCACCTAGCACTTCCTAGGTGCATGGATGGTTGCTTTTTAAATTGAAATTTATCAAAATCCATGTGATTTGTATTATGACGAGTTTTTTTTTAAGTCAGATGTGAAATAGCTGTGGATCAGTTTGTTAAATCATTCCGGTCTTCCTATTGAGCCAAACGAGAATGAATACCACACAGAAGAGTCAAGACCAGGCTCCCTAATGGAATGTTTAACCGTGTTGCCATTTTTTTAATCAATTTCTCTGCCTCTTCCGCACTCTGTACTTGTTACATGTCTTTCTTCTTTCTGCATTTGGGGGTTTGATGTTGAATCCTTTCCTATGTTGATAGAAATTTAATTTGCAACCTTATAGAACATGCAACTTTTAACGATGGAGTTGTGATGCATGTTCAGCATGGCCTCTTCCTTTTACTGCAGGTCCAACTATAATGGTGGTTTTTGTTTCTCTCATAGGTCACCTCGCCATATGGCAATACCCTATATCACCTGGAAAATACGACACATGGTCAATTTGCATTCACGACTAGTGAGGCTGGCAACTATCTGGCATGTTTCTGGATTGAAGGGTGTAATCCAGGAGGTGGAGGTGTAAGTGTTAACATTGACTGGAAAATGGGCATTGCAGCGAAGGATTGGGAATCGGTTGCAAGGAAGGAGAAAATTGAGGTAACACCTTTAAGCTCACTTACATGATATAACTGCTGCTTCCAGTCGAAAACTCATTTATTATCTTCTTTACGAGACAAATTATTAAATTAATGCAGTAGGTGAAATTGAAGCTTGTGATGTCTTTGCTGGTACTCTGGAAATTATTTACTTATTTCATGCCTTTAGTAGGGTGTTGAACTTGAGCTGAGAAAGCTTCAAGGAGCTTTGGAGGCCATTCATGAAAATCTTTTGCATCTTAAGAGCAGGTCTAATAATTTCTTCTTATCTTAATGTTGCACGAGTATTCAGATCATTCTATTTTATTTGGTTCAACCAAATATTTATGGTTTTATAGTCAAAATATGAGCTCACTAGGTGCTTTCTATGTGGATTTCTCCTCACAGAGAAGCTGGGATGCGAACCATGAGTGAAGCAACAAATGCGCAGGTGGCATGGTTCAGTATTATGTCCCTGGGAATCTGCATTATGGTTTCAATCACCCAGATTTCATACTTAAAGCGGTACTTCCAAAAGAAGAAGCTAATTTAGGTTTTGTTTTATCTAAATTATATTCTGTGCCACCGGATCAAATTTTCGTTCTTTTGAAACCTTTTCTATTCATCCTCGATGAAGTTTTGATGTGAAAGTAGTAATTGTGACATCCTTTTACTGTTTGAGATGAAGAGGAAATTGTTATTATGGATTAAAAGATTATCAGGGGTTCTTTTTGCTCTCCCACCTAAATGAGTACGAATAGTTAAAATTTACATTGGCAGAGTTCACGAGATTTATAAGGTTTATTCTGTCAAATAATGTGGAAAATCTTATCTAGAACATTATCCCTTTGGAACACCCATGGATTGACGATCTCCCATGCAAAATGGATTAAGAAAAATCCCAAAGACTCTGACAACATTATTCAATCAAAACAATCTTACGATTCGTGTATCTAAATCTGCAAACGTCTTCAAAGAAATCATCTGCACTACTGTGGCTGCTTTTCATTTGGAGAATCTTTATCGTCATATTCTTTAAATTCTTGGCATTATTTACTAAAGACTCCAGAGTATTCATCTTCTGTTCGGCATTCAAGGGTGATCTGACAGTAATCATAACCTTTTCAAGGCACGGAATTGAAAATCTCGAGTCCACCTGCAAAAAGGGAAAAATTTCTTCAGTAAATCTTAAAGTCGAAGAATCAAAAACTCGACACCGCTGTTGTTGAACAACTTTCTTTTCTTCCATTTGAAGAATTCAGACAAGGTTCACATGATCTGGTGTGCTGGTTTCTTAGTGTGACCAGGCATAACAGTTGGAGTAACTGTAGATTTAGCAGGGGAAAAAACCAGTGGTCACTAAACTTCTAGCAAATTTTCATGTTGGCAATTAAACTTTGGTTAAGTTGGTCGTGTCCATCAATTTGATTAACAATAAATATGATTTCACAGTTTACTTGGCACCCTAATTGGCACATAACAAATGGACATAGATAGTGCGACCGAGTTAAAACAAAGTTTAAGTGGTGAACTAGGACATTTTTTGCTAAAAGTTTAGTGGCAATCGATGCATTTAACCCAATAGATAACACATTTATACAACGAACTCACATATTTCAAGCTGTTCTTTTGGCAAAGAGCAGCAAACATGGCACCATGAATGTCAAAAGTTTGCAGCTTTGGGTGGCTGTTAAAGAAGTCAACAAAATCAATCTCCGGAAATGGCATGAGTTCCTCAAAATCCCCAGTGAATTCCACTTTCATGTATAGTTGCTTCACTTCACTGGCCATCTGAAGCATTTTGCTTATGGCATCCCAGCACCACTGTATTCCTCTCATTGACAAGGACTCCAGTGCCACAAGTTTTCCAAAATCCAACATACAAACACGTCCTGTCATTTGGCAGTTAAAAGTTTGTGAAGAATGAAGATTCAATGTATCGAGCACTAACAGGAAAGTAAATGAGAGAATGCGCAAAAGCAGTTATAGAACACCTTTATTGTTGGCAATTGAGAGATTTTTCAAGCGTTGAGTTTTGTGGACTCTGATCAATCTACAACCTTGTACTTCAAGTGATTCGAGCTTTGGTGAATTGAGCGAAAGCAAGCAGTTACCATTTCCGGTAAAATCAAGCTTACAATGCTCCAGATGAGGAAGCTCAATTGAAACAGACTTCAAACCCTCACAACCAAGAAGCAACAGGTGAGTCAAATTAGGACAAGCGCGAAGTGCATCAGATAGTGCGGTGTCCTTCAATCTAGCACCAACTACTTCCAGATTTCTTAGCCTAAGGAAAACATCCCATTGGGGCGAATCAATCATTAGCACACCCCAAAGCTTAAGGGACTCCAAATTCCATGCAGACCCAATGCAATCCAACTTTGAAGGGGATTTAGGAAAATTCTGGGGGGTGATTATGGTATCCATTCGAAGCTCAAGGTTCTTCAAGGAGGGTCCTGCTATCGACAGCCATAACCGGAGCCCAACACAGGAAAATGTACAATAGACTACAAGTTCCTCTAAGTCGGCAATTGAAGAAATCATTTGCATCACAATGGCATCGGGAGGATTGCCAAAAATGTCAAGAAGATTTCGTGGGAAAAATAGGCTCCTCAAATAAGGTACTGAGTCCTTCCACCTCTTGGAGACACACATGCAAGAGGCCACGTCTTTAGCATTATTTATGTGGGACAAAATGTATTGTACAATTTCATCAGGCAGGGACTCCATTATCTGAGTAAAACAGTCGGGCAGTTAACATCCATTCCCAAAATATGCACACGGGTTTGAGAAAAATAATCAAACACTTTACACTAGTGTTATTGTCCATGAAGTAGATATTCAATAAGTATTTCAAAAGAAGGTATTTCCAAGAAAAATCAGAACTCATATATGCGAAGTTGGGCTACAAAATTCAGCAGATTTTAGTTAAATCTAAAAATTGGGCAATTGGTAACATGCTATATAGCTAACTAGTCTTCCAAATGGAGTGTGTTGAGGGGATTCTCTCAATCCAAATCAAATTCTCAATCATAAACTTAAATTACATTCTTGAAATTTTGAAAGGTAGATTTTTCAATTTTAAGGCAGATGCGGTACAAGTCAGAGAATAACTCATATTCAAACCTTTTTAGGCCATCTCCAATCCATCACCAAAATTTGAGGTACCATTTAAATTATTTAATACCAAATCTTGCATCAAACTAAAAATTATTTCCAACCATTACACCAAAACATACATCAAATGAACAGTGTTTGTTATTGTATTAAAAAATATATAACACAAATGACACAAATGCCCTCCATCAATTAGTTTGGCAAATGAAAAAAAGGGTAAATTTGACTTTGCCTTTGCACCCAAAATTTGGTGTTTTGGTGTCTCCTTTGGAGATGGATGACCAGATATAATCATGCTTGCATAATATAAAGAGGATGAAAATCGAGCTTACTTTCTTGAAAGATTTCAATGGAGGCGTAGCCCAGAAGATAAGCTCGAAGTAAGCTTCGATTAGGAGCTTCACGCTTTATCCTTCTCAGTGTATTTGTGGGGGAGAAAGAGTGGAAGTGTGTGTGTGTGTGTGTGTATCCGTGTATATTATAGAGAGAGAGAGAGAGAGGAAATAGTAGGCGGGTAGGCGCGGTTAGAATGGCTGAGCGGAGCTTTTCAAAATTTGGAAGAGAGATAAGAGTTGTAGACGGGAGGGGATTTTTCATATTTTAATTCAGCTTTGCTGCATGTGAAATAAAAGCCGCCCAGTTTTTTTACTTTTTGAATTTTCGACCGTTTGCAGCCTCTCAATCTCCCAAATCTACGAATTTCAAACTTAAAGGGGTCCATTTCATTTCAATAGTGAAATTTGAGTGTAAAGAAAATGAATTATAGGGAATTGAATTGTCTAAAATTTTTTTTTTTTTTAAATTGTCAATTAATTGTGTTTTATTGGTATAATTTTTCACCTGAAAATATTGAAATTTTAGATCTTTTGGTGTTCGTTTGACTTTGTTTTTTATGAAATTGTCCATCGAATGAAAAAAAATTTACAATTGGAAATATAATTTATTTCCATTACAAAAAAGAAAAAACTTGAAAAATCATTTTCCCACTAGAATGGTAGAAAAACCAATTCAATGAAAACATTGAAAAGGGGTCACGTGGGGGTTGGGAGGAAAATATTTTGCCAATAAAAATTTGGCTATCAAAAAAGACAAAAGTTGGAATGAAAAATAGGATGAATCAAACAAGGCCTAAAATCAACAGAAAATACTTCATGGTAAAATACCTTTCTACTAATATTTTGTTAATCTATTTATAAAAGATTACGCTCAAATTTTTAGTAAATGATAAAAGCTGATAAAATGTGTGATTGAAAAATTAATAAATTTTGTGAATCCGATATATGATTTTGAGAAAAATAAATTTAGAAAATGAGGTCAAATAGGAGCTACAGTTTGTAATTGAATTTTTAGTCATGCACATTGTGAAAATCGGAGATGATACTCGATTAAATCAATACCAAACTGTTTCAGAAAATAAGAAATTATAGCCATAATATGAAATAATTGAACACGAGAATAAAATAATTTACGAAGAATATATATTTTACTATAATATGGAGAATGAATACGAAAATTGTGTGTTTATAATGTTTTTAACTTCTTACTAAGCCTTTGTTTGGGAGCAATTATTTTTCACACAAAATAGATTTTTTGACAGCTGGAATGGGGCCCATCTCTGCCAAAAATTGACATGCCCACAACATTTGACCACTCAAATACATACATATTATGCAAAATTGTCATTTCCGCCCTTTATCGCTTCGCAAGTTTAAAATCATAAAGGGGCACTCATGTCATTTCACACGCCCAAAACATTTGACCATTCAAATGGTCACCATATTTTATCAATGATTAATGCATATACGGATCCCACTTACCTTTCCAAACAGTAAGAAATGAATTAAAATTTAGCCATAATTGCTCCCAGACAGGGCCTAAATAATAATCAAGAAATAAAGAGTCATAGTTGAAGTAAAATGCAAAAAAGTGAGTAGATGAGAAGATCCCTCAAAAGGCGAAACAAATAGGTGGCTCGCCTGTAGGCGCCCCAGGCTTCATGTCGGGGCATCAGACGAAAATAACTCTTAATTATTTTCAACAAATAATTTGGATCACACTAAAATTATAACATGCACATATACTATCAAGATCAATTTAACATAGCATGCTAAAACATCACAAAATAATGTAAATTTGTAACTTTATTGCTATTTCTAATTTAAAAATGAAAAAGGTTACAGCAGAAAAAAATTGTCGCTAACTAAATTTCCCTTCTTGCATGCTTGGATCCACTGTTGTTCGTTTTTTTGAAGAGCACTCTTTAATTGTCAACATGTAGTGTTACTAATGAAGCATGCACTAAGGATAGTTATGCCCCTTGTTTGATAGTTGCTTCCAACCTAATGTTGGGGTTGGGACGGACCCAGGATTATTGTTCAGGAAGGGCGAGACATAACTCCGTAAAAAATAATTTTAAATAATAAAGATAATATTCAAAATGTAATACTTTTTTTTACAATTGTTCATTACAACTTCTCATACTTTGAAAACGACATATAATAGTCTCGTTAGTAATTTCATTAAATACATATTTTTCAACGTACACAACTAAACTATCATTAATCAATTGGTGTCCAATCTGATTACGCAGTCGATTCTTCACAATATTCATAGCAGAAAATACTCTTTCAACTGTAACAGTAGCAATCAGAAGAGTTAATCCTAAAGTCACAAGTATGTAAACTAATGGATACACTTTATTTCTTTTGATCACAACCAACTTCAGTACAAGTTCACCAAGTCCCTTCAATTCTCCAAACTCCTTGTTCACATATCAACAATATAGTTTCGAAACTGATCATCAAGTACCATGAGTTGTATTTTTGAAAAATCTTTAGGATAATACTTAGCAAGATGAATTAATTTATCCTTGTCAAAAGCAGAGAATGAATCATCGAGGCATAAACATGCTAAACAAAAGAGTAACTTTGTACTTATCTCAGAAAAATGATCATTCAATTCTTGAAGTTGCATATCAATGATAGAATAATATAAATCCACACGGAAGCGATGAAAATTTGTCATTTCTTCAGTATTACGCCGTGAGCGACCTAGGCGTACAAACACAATATCCATATCAGGAATATCAATATTATGCTTTTGACAAAAAGAAATAACTTCATCAAAAAAAAATCCCACTCATTGTCCATCATCTCTTGGAGTCTCCGTTCGCATTTATAATATCCTAATATTTTCTTTGTAATGCCTTAGGCAATTCATTTGAAATCCCTAAGATGGTTCTCATGAGATGTAGATTAAACACAAACTCAAACGACTGCATTGAGTCCAATAAATTATCAGACTCACATCTTTATTCACGTGTTGATCCATCATCCGAAATCATTTCAATGACATCAATTATAGGTGAGAACATCAAAATCAAACTAATCAAAGTACGATAATGCGATCCCCAACGTGTCTCACCAAAACGCACAACAGTACTTTATTGATTAAGACCCTGTCAACTTGAAATCTCACCATTAATGAGTGCTTCAAGTATTATGGCTTCTTTTTTCTTTCGAAGAATATCACAACGTTTAGAAGAAGCTCCAACAATATTCACCACGCTAGAAACCAAATTGAAGAGTGATTGGACTTTCTTGTGCTTCTTTGCTATGGCTACAAGAGTTAATTGAAGTTGATAAGCAAAAATAATGAATACAAAAGGCACTTGGATTCTCTTTCAAAATAAGTGTTTAGAGACCATTGAACTCACCTTGCATATTACTCGCTCCATCATAACCTTGACCTATTAATCTAAATATACTTAACCCATATCTTGAAAATAATTTATCTATAGCCGCTTTGAGTAATAGAGCTGTAATACTTGAAACATGTTCAATCCCAATAAAACTTTCAATCACATGTCCCGTCTTATCCACATAACGTAAAGCAATAGACATTTGCTATTTCACTGAGATATTTTGAGATTCATCAACTAGAATTGAAAAGAATGTATCATCAATATCTTTGATGATAACATCAAACGTTTCAACAGCTGCAACACTTACAATATCTTTCTAAATTGTTGGTGATGTTAGTTTGTGATTTTTTGGAGCATTTTTCAAAGTGACATCCTTAATCCTTCAGCATGATCAGTTAGAAACTTCAACTGTTCAAGAAAGTTTCCTTGATTATTTGACTCATTACACTCATCATGACCACGAAAAGCTTGTCCTTGATGTAAAAGAAGTCGAACACAATCGATGGATGCATTCAAACGAATTCGATATACACTCTGTGCTTGTTTTGACTGCTTGAAGAAAACTGTCTCAATATGTTGCTCTTGATTCATCAAGGCTTCACAGTTGCTTCGGGCTTGATTGTGTGCACTATGGACGTCTTCAACATGAACTCCAAGTCTATCATTCTTTTTAAAATTCTGGAACCCTTCTTTCACAAAAGCATCACATCCTCATTGTTCCCCATTGTTTGGTCCAAAAAGATAACAATATAAACAAAATGCAGCATTCTTACTTATATTGTATTCTAACCAATCACCATATTCATCGAACCAAGCAGGAATGAATCGCCTCGACTTTTTACGTGGAAACACATGGCTCTGAGGCTGGCATGGACCTCTCTGCAAGTATACTCTTCTTATTTGATCTTGA